GTAACAGATGCAAACTTGGTACAGACAAGACTTTTGCGAGTGATATTTGTGCTTCATGTTTGGTTTTGCTAGTTTTTCAGTCTTTAAGGCCTGAAACTGGCATGACTGTGATGCTATCAAAGAGAGTGGGATATTCATGTCAGGGTTCCCCTCCCCCCGACTTTGAGGGCGTAAGGGCAAAGATTTGCACATTTTTGCCATCCTGTTACTCCACACTCAATGAGAATCAATGAAAATCAGTGAATAATTTGGAGATGCTCTCATAGCTGCAAAATGAAGGTTGCAGCAATATTCAAATCATAGACAACAGATTCCTCATCTATGAATGATCATGTTTGATCTGTAGCATGTTTTCAGTAATTATTTTCCAGCAAAATCTTGTTTTGACAGAACGAGAGTGAGTAAGAGCAAGTGAGAAAGTGCTAATGCAACACTGTAGTTATAACAGAACTGACTACTAGTACATTTCTGGTTCAAATCTTGCTCAGAAGTTCCATTCCTTTTTAGTCTCATTCAAATATTGGCCGTGAATTTTCTACTGCTCTCATTTTTGGTGTGTATACATGCAAATACACAAGCATGGAAAAATTGGCTCTTACAGATATTAAGAAAGTTATAGTCTGGTGAATTACTTGGAAACCTTGCAAATCTGTCTTTTAAACATACACACATGAAAGAGCCAATATATGTTTATGTATCTTCATAGTAAACCTGGGTCTGTGACGCTACAAAACATCATTAAAAGATTGAAATCCCTAACAGTTATTTGACTTCTTTTTCATCGTGTTCAGACATGCTTCAACTTATTACTTAATTAGACACTAACTAAACAAATAATGGCTTCCCCAGTTCAAGGTATTGATGCTAATGAATAAAAATACCAGTTCTAAAGAGACATACCTCCCCCAGCATCACCAACCCAGGCAGAGAGATATATTAGGTAGATCTTGCCCACAATTCTGTTTCTGATTGTGGCCCATGGTATACTAACTTGAGATAGGCAAAGCCCAGTAGTGGGATTCTAATAATAATAATAATAATAATAATAATAATAATAATAATAATAATAATCTTCACTCTCTTGATGTATTCACCTCTAATCTTTTTCTTGACTTCAGTGTGCTTGATGTTGTCAGCTTGAAGAATACCCAAGTATTTGTAGTACTCTTCCTCATCCAGACTCTTAATGTTATTTTCGTGGAGCATCTTGATTCCTTCAGTTTTCACTATTTTTCCTTGTTTGATAGTAAGTGTGGCACATTTGTCCAAGCCAAACTCCATTACAATATCTTGGCTATATATACGGACAGTGTTGAACAGCGATTCTATTTCAGATGATGTTTTTCCATACAGCTTCAGATCATCCATGTAAAGGAGGTGGGATAGTCTGGCAGATGTTTTTGATGTTTGATAGCCATGTCCTGAGTTATTCAGTATTGTTGACAGAGGAAACAGTGCAATAACAAATAGTAATGGTGATAATGAATCTCCTTGACTCAATGGAGGAAATACCATAAAGGCAATCAACACCTGGGCAATCCCAGTCATTAGGTACACAGCTGGAATAGTGGACTGGACTCAAGCAGAACTAAAAGCAATGGATAGGCAGACCAGAAAAATAATGACAATGAATCATGCCCTTCATCCACGCAGTGACATTGATAGACTTTATCTACCAAGGCAAATAGGTGGGCGTGGAATGCTACAAGTACATCAGATGGTTGAAGAAGAAAAAATGGCTTTGGAAGAATATCTGAAGAACAATGATGAAGATGCACTGAAATTAGTATATCAGGAAGGCTTACTAACTACTGGAGAGACCAAACTGGCCTACAAGAAAGACCAAATGAAGAACAGAATAGAGGCATGGGAAGACAAAGCACTACATGGCCAATACATTAAAAAAATAGCTGGGAAAGCAGATAATAATAAACCTGGCAATGGCTAAGAGCAGGAAAATTGAAGAAAGAGACCGAGGGACTAATTCTGGCTGCACAAGACCAAGCCTTAAGGACAAATGCATATAAAGTCAAAATTGAGAAGACAGCAACAGACAGTAAGTGCCGCCTATGCAAAGAAGCTGAAGAAACAGTGGACCACTGGTAAGCTGTTGCAAGAAGATTGCACAGACTGACTACAAGCAGCGGCATGACAAAGTAGCAACAATGGTGCATTGGAAGATCTGCAAAAAATATCATTTGCCTGTAAGCAAAAACTGGTGGGATCATAAAATAGAGAAAGTCATAGAAAATGATAAAATTAAACTGCTCTGGGACTTCAGAATTCAAACAGACAAGCACCTGCAACATAACACCCCAGACTTAACAATTGTCGATAAGAAAGACAAAAAAGTCTGGATAGTGGACGTGGCAGTGCCTGGAGACAGCAGAATAGAAGAGAAAGAACTGGAGAAGATAACAAAATACAAAGACCTACAAATAGAAATAGAAAGACTGTGGCAAAAGCAAGCAAGGGTAGTACCAATAGTAATAGGCTCCTTGGGTGCAATCCCAAAACAACTGGAGCACCAGTTGAACACCATTGGCATTGACAAATTCGCTATTAGTCAATTGCAAAAGGCAGCCTTATTAGGAACTGCTTCCATCCTGCGACGATACCTGTAACACTATCAAACATCCATATCTGCCTATCCCAGGTCCTGGGTAAGGACTCGATAGGTAGACAAAATGCCAAATCCAGTCTGAACATCTGGCTGACTGTGCGATGATCCATAATAATAATAATAATGATGCCGCCGCCTGGAGATGAGAAAGAACTGGAGAAGATAACAAAATATAAAGACCTACAAATAGAAATAGAAAGACTGTGGCAAAAGCAAGCAAGGGTAGTACCAATAGTAATAGGCTCCTTGGGTGCAATCCCAAAACAACTGGAGCACCACTTGAACACCATTGGCATTGACAAATTCGCTATTGCAAAAGGCGGCCTTACTAGGAACTGTTTCCATCCTGCGACGATATCTGTAATACCATCAAACATCCACATCTGCCTATCCCAGGTCCTGGGTAAGGACTTGATAGGTAGACAAAATGCCAAATCCAGTCTGAACATCTGGCTGCCTGTGTGATGATCCAATAATAATAATAATAATAATAATAATAATAATAATAATAATAGTAGTAGTAGTAGTAGTAGTAGTAGTAGTAGTAGTAGTAGTAAGGGACCTTGGAGGTTCACATCTAAATATGTGAACAACCAGTCCTCTGTGTGGATGCTGCTTCCGGAAGTCCATTCTGGGCCTGGGCAACAAAAAATTAGCTACCAGTTCTGCTGAAGTGGCGCAAACTGACTGAATCACACCACTGGCAGAACCATCCACTTGGCAGAGCCCTGACTGTGGGACTTCCTATTTTATCAGATATAGATGGAGCCAGATGAAAACTCTCCTTTCCTGTCAGATTTAAATATTTGATGCCTTTCATTTGACTGTCTTCCTTTTCATGTATTATTTGTTGACACATTACATGGTTATTGGCTTTTATTGTGCTTTGAATGTATTTTTGATTTTTTTTTTATGATGAAAGGACATAATAATTTTTATAAAACAATTCATCTGTTAAAAAGTACTTAAGGGAATCTTAAATGTCCAATCATAGAATCTCTTGTCTCTTTCAGAATACCTTTCCATTGCAGTAGTTAGATTTTAATGTTCATATACAGATGTGATCTTTAAACCTCTACCAGAAAATGCCACCACAAAGCTATCTGCTCAAGCTTGTCATATTGGAACGATAGATTTCATATAATTAGACCTGAGATATGTTTGTTTTAAAATAATTAAGAAATCTATGGAGACAATAGTTTTTTTAAATTTTCTTTCCACATTGAAATAGCTTTGATAAATGGAAGTATCTCAATTCCAACAAGCAACAACAACAACAAAAAAACCTAATGTCATTAGATGCATTTTTCGCAATGCAGACTCAAGGGGGCTGGAAAGAAAGAGACTGCTGGAATCAGGGAAAATTCTTTCAACCATCTGCTTTTCATTTTCACAAAGAAATCTTTGATTCCTTCATGCACAATAAACAGCTAAAGTAGCCAAACTCTCCCCCTCAACACTGTGGTAGTGGTAGGCAAAAATCCTGCTGCAAACTTTTCTACAATCTTGGTGATCAGGAAAGGAACCTCCAAGTTGAGATGTTCCTTGGTCTATCTGTAATATTTCTGCTCCTTTTTGGGCTGGGAAGAGTTACTCACTGAAACTGCCCTTGAAACAGGCAAATCCAACTCGTATCTTCAATATATTTTTCAAGCCTACCCAGTTTTTGGCAGGGGAGCAAAAGGCTCTTTCCATTTCTCCTTACAGAAATGGCCAACCAAAGGGCTGGTGGCAGTTTTCCTCCGATAACTGCAGAGCCCTTACTGTATATTTGTGCTGGATGGGGCAAGGAAGCAATTCCCTTTGCACAAGACAAGAGTCAAATGAAAGCCAGGAGCAATGAACGATCATGCCCAATTAATCTCATTATTAATAGGCCTCTACTGATAACTGCAGTCTGGCCATACACAGAGAACTTCTGAGATTGGCTGCCTGATGCAGCATATTAGAAAAGGAGCACCATTCTGGCCACTATTATCAAAGGGCCCAGAGTTTTAGTTTATATGCAGAGGCAGAAGGGGGAAAAGAGTGAGTGCGATATTTCAAATTCTGGTAATCCTAAGATTTAGATACATTTGGGTAGCATGACAGAAACAAGAGCAAAGCATGGTAAAAAAATTTAGCTTTGTGGACACCGAAGGGATTTGACTTGGCAATTACTCAGCAGGAAAGAGATCCTAGTGTCATGTTGGAAGAATTATATGAATATTTAAACGCTGCTCAAGGCAGAGGTGAAGCAAGTAAATCCGAAATGGGAATTATTAAGAAAGGCTGAAAATCAGAATGCTAGTATTATGACATAGATCTATGTCGAAAAGTTCTTTAGAAGTAGGACGTTCCACAGTCAGTGAGTCAGAGCACTGATTCACCAAGGCCAATAAGATCCGATTATTTGCTCCTGGTGCATTAAGAAGGATGCCGTGTGAGAGGCCTCCTTCCATGGGGGCAGCTCTCTATGGGCAGATCGCGCTTTCATACTAAGCATTCCAACACAGTCCTTTCAACTGAAAAGCAGGTAAGCTCTGTTTTCTAACAGCATGAGATTTTTTTTAAGACTGCAAAGGAGGAGATACTCTGGATGACTAAACTGTAGCTGACAAGTCCTTAAATTACATGTCCTAAGCTTTTTATGTTAAGATCAGTCGATCAAAAATGCTGAAGGAGATCCAAAAGCCTTAGATAACACCAAGCGTTGTAATTTAGTCATTGGGAATTAGTGAATCAAAGAAGCTTTATAAAACTAAAAGAGGCAGAATTGAACAACTCTTGTTTTGAATTTCAAAGGCACTTTGAGTTTTGCTTCTACAACTTCAGCAATGATACTGTGCCAAGTTGAACGTCTTTTTTTTCCCTTCCCAAATCCGAAGCAAAGCTTAATGCCTTGAGAATGAGAAGTCGGACATTAAGACATTTATCCCTGGTTATTAGAAAATGATCTTCCAGCTTTTGACAACACTTCTTGCAGAGGCTGCCGTATCTATTCAACAGAATAAAAACTAGGATGAGAGACTATTTACCAATTTCTTTAAGATGTTCTCAACCCAGTGCATTTATGCAGTAGACCTCCAATGCAACAGATAACCCCAATAAATCCGATTAAGTACTCCCTGAAAGACTGTCTCTTATAAGCCAAAAGGAGTATTGTATATAAAAAGTTATCAGATCTACAGCATATGTTAGTAAGTGTGTCACCTATGGAATCCAACTTTTGGCTTTCCAGATACATTTGGTTGACCAAAGTTAAACCAGGAGGATTTCTAGACTAGATGCAACTTTCACCTGATCTAAGAAAACACTTGAATTCTGGTTAAGACATATTTTTAAACCTTCTATATAGATTAAACAATACAAAAAAAAAATAGCCTGAAGGAGAAATTCATTTGAGAGACAGCTTGCCATAAAAACACATTTCTCCCAAATCCAAACCCATTACTTTAGCCACTATATCACAATGAATCAGTGCAGTGTACCAGTGATGTTTAAAAAAAAATGAGGAACATCTGGAAGTAAATCCTGATTATTCTGCTTTTCTGTGAAGTCTATGTTTTCTTTTTCTTTATTCAGAGAGGCTATATATCTCCCCCTTTTCAATATTCAAATAGGAAAAGGTATTGATACTTTCTGTAAAGAAGGATGATAGATGTCTGTACAAAATATCTCATTTCAGGCATTGGATTATCTTGCAGACTGTGATAGCCTACCCAATACAGCTTCCTCCAGAATTTTTGGAATACAACTCCCAGGAATTATGGTATTTGGGAATTCTGGGAGTGATAGTTCTACTACACGAAGGAGTAGACTCTGGCATCTTTGAAGAAGTGGTAATATGTCATCAACGTATTTTCAAATTGAGATTATTTTAGTTATTGCGTAAAAGATTAATTTGAGGCTGAAGCATTCTTTATCTCTGCCCCAGTAAGTTTCAAAGATAAATGAATTATAAATTGCCTGGAAACTTTTCTGTTATCTACTAGTCAAAAGTAATATGATGGCAATCAAGACAATAAGAGATGAATGACCTTTGCCAGATATCAACAAAATTAAATGTCCCATCACCCAGAAAGTTCTGAAAACTTGGGGAACAGAAAGAAAAACCCAGCTCTTGAACTGGCACCCCCAAATTATTACTTTTCAGATTTATTATGTCAGCTCCCAAAATCTCTATCAGGGTCAGTGGCTGAAATCCAACACATCAGGAAGGTACCAGATTCCAGAAGAGAACTTCAAACAGCATAGTTGAAGACTCAGCCTTCTTCTTTATGAACTACCTGAAATAACCTCAGGGAACATACATGGCATTCCCATTCAGTTTGGGCTCAGTGCAACAGAAAAAGCTACCACCACAAAAATGAGTTGGAAAGTTTGCCGACATTTTCTGTACTGCATCAACTACAAGCTGCTGAGATTTATTTTGCTTCTTGTTGCCACATGCCATGCAAAACATTTTGCTCTCTCCATGGAAAAATGTTTGACTGATCCCCAGGGATTACACAAAAATCTGGAAGGGGCTCCTAAGCAGAGAGACCACAACTGCTGATGCTTGTGCTGCTTGTGCCAAAAGCATCTTCTGCTTCCTGTTTTAGGTTAAATTTAGGAGTCTGGCTTCCTCGGGATTTAAAATAGGTATGGCAATCAGTACGGCATGCACCATACTGGATTTGTTTTCAAACAGCACTTTCTAATCCTGTTTTTTAACAACTGATGAGAGATGAAAAGAAAACTAGCTTGCCCTGTCCTTTGCAACTTTTATAGATGCTTGCAACCAGGGAAGCCATAGATCCAAGATTCAGTCCTTGTATCCACTGACATTACAATGCTTGGATTTATAAGGCTTTGGCTTGTCATCATATTGCTTCCAATAATATTATTGGAATATCAATTATTAAATACTACAGTGTTATTCTGTAGTTACTGCCTGTACTATGTGTTTGTGCAAAAGATGAATGGAGATGTCTGACAAGGCATTCAGGAGATACGGTAAAAAAAAAAAGGAAACATTTGTTCTGGAATAGTTTATGCAATGAGAAGTATCAAAAGGAAGATCTTCAAGAAGATTCAAGCAATGATTCTCAAAGCAAGATGGTTCACATATGAAATGGATGTGGGTTAGCTTAACAGAAAAACACCAGGAGGCCTATGAAGGGTAGCAAGTTGGAACTGAACTTGCCTTACTGGAACTGATAAAAGGGAATGAAAACTGTACTATTTTGAAGTCACCACACAGAATGAAATGCAATGCCTGGTAGACTTCCTGCCTCAGTTCTGACACTGAAGCCTAGCTGGATCAGCTTAATACACACTGTAGTAAGTATGAATGTACAGTGTGTGTGTGTGTGTGTGTGTGTGTGTGTGTGTGTGTGAGAGAGAGAGAGAGAGAGAGAGAGAGAGAGAGAGAGAGAAGGATTTAATGCTTTTAGTTCAGAATATGAATAAAAATTATCAACTTGCATTTTTTTCTTCATGTCTGAAGTCTCTAATAAGTCAAAACAGAAGGAAAAATAAAGAATCTCACTGTGACACCACCACTCGTCCAATGTGGCAGCTACTTAGGCAAAGATATTTTGTAGAAACCCAAGGATGCCAAGGGAACATTTTCTCTACTTTTAAACATTGTTGTGCAGGAAGAAAAGGGAGATTTTAAGAAAAATCCAGGGTTATGAAAGAAAAGGATTACTACTAATATCACAGCATGTATGTTGGTAAGAGAGTTAATCCACCCCACTCTCTCATGTAACATTTCTGTTGGTTGCAATACATGGGAGTGTGTAGGTATTCTTTTTTTGCATAACTGCAGATTTTTCTAAAAATTTCCTATCCCTTCGAGCACAACAGTGTTTAAAAGTAAAGGAACATCTTTTCTTGACGTCCCCTTGGCTTCCTCTAAAATATCTTTGCCTAAACAGTAGAACCCAATTTGCCATGTGAGCTTTGGTGAATGGCATAATGAGGTTTTTTTAATTATTCTTTCAGTTCTGATTTATCCAAAAACGTCCTCCCTAAGAAAATAAGAGCTAATCCTCCTCTTTTCATGTGCTGTTCTCCTTGAATAGCTTGCCCATCTTCTTGAATACCTCATTGCCTATCCAATGACAAGGGATACCAGGAAAAAAAATCTTTCAATGATGCCAATAGAACTTCTAAGTTCAAGGCCACATAGGAGAGGAATTCCAGAATTGAGAGAGGTGGATGGGTTAACCCTCTAACCACCATATATGTTGTGATATTCCCAAGAGACAATTCAGCTTAAGGGAACACCCCAAATTTCCTGTTACCATCTATATCAGTATTCCTCACACTTAGCAATTTTAAAGCATGTGGACTTCAACTTCCATAATTCCCCAGTCATCCAAGATTAATCAAAGTTCAGCTAATCAATCACCCAGTTTCCAAAACCATCCAGTCAACACTTTTTGGAAGTACATGAAAGCTGAGGCTGTGACCTTGTCTGTCCCTAGACTCTGATATTAAAACATAATAAAATGAGCATTTATTTAAGATGGTGGGAATCTCTCTAAAAGGGCAAATTTATTAATTTTAAAGATAACTGACAAATACAAACTGATGAAGCTTCTTGGATAAGAAGCAAAATGTCTTCTTCCTCAAGAAAAAACAGTCTTTTGAAAAAGCATCTTTGAGACAGCTATGATCTGGAATGACTAAGAATCTCCACAGCCATCAATTTTAAAGAATTTTTCCTTCTTTAAAGAGGACTATTACAAAGCTTCCAGGTCGAGATCCAGTATGAAAATCAAGAACTGCAAGGAACAAAGAGGAGGCTGATTTGTACTGTAGGTTCATACTTTTGCATTAAAATAATTGTTACCCATTTGTGTTTAATTAATGCCCTTTTCTATTTAATGGCTAGTAATTACTTCTACTTTGGCATCTATATTAGCACATGTAGATGTTATAAAAAGTGACATCTTTTTTGTCCTCATTTTTGGTGATGCATAAACTGCCACCCTAAACTCCACCCTGACCATTCCATCAGTTACAAACCAACTCACATCATTTCACAGTCTACCAGTGGAAAAAAACAACTCCAAGAATAGCCATTACAGATACCATAATCAAACATATGAAGAGTCCCACTTGTCAAAAAAACAGAACAAAAGGAACAAATTAAAATGGAAAAGGACTGAGTAAAAATGTAGATTTTTTTTGCTTGCACAAAAAGGGTAGAGGGCTTGCATATCTTTCTGAGGAGCACATTCCATAATTTGGCTGCTTTCCCCAAAGCATCTGGAATGAAAGAACCCAGAGGAAGGATCTTCTCTAAAAACTGAAATGTTTGGGGACAATATCTGTCTCAAATCAGGAAAAGCTTTGATGGATGGAAACTTCAGTAAAAAAAAAAGTCAAGAATCATCTCTAACACACATTACCGTATATCTCATCCTACAGATGCCACATGTTTCTGTCATGCAGGAAAGTGACATATATTGACTAGAAGTCTGAAGGACAGAATTAACAGCAGAAATTTTAAGACACCCCAATACAGCTTTTATAAAGGCTGGGTCAGTTGTAAGAGAAGATACAGAAATGCAGAGATAAAACATCGAGACATCTGGGTGGTTAATGTCAGCAAAGAAGCCAACCAGTTATGATGTGCAAAAATTTGGCTTTGCATTCTTTGGAATGCTCTTTAGAAAGAATTGGTCTGAAGGCAGTTGTGGGAGGGTGGATGGTTTACTGCACTTTCCTGCACTTTCCAACTCCTATCCTCAGCTTGCTTGCTTGTAATAATCATTAGTATAAAGACAAGCATTTAAACTGTACTCCTGTCATTCAAATTGATGGCCAGACTTTTCCCACTGATTGGTCCTAAAACTTTGCAGTTAAATTGGACTTTGGAAAAGAGTTTTAAGTTTTAGTGTTTAGCAGTAATTTCACTACTAAGCATCTAGTAATTTCTAAGCACTTTCCTGTTGTTCTAGCTTCACGTTCATAATCAAATGTCCTCCAAAAGGGGAGTCAATGGCAGCCCAACCTGTATTTGCAATTCAGGGCATTGTGGGTGAACTTGAACAACTGGCTTAATTGAATAAGCCATCAGTAAATGAGCAAAGGATAAGTATGCTTTGTGACTGTAGCCAATCCTTCCTTCAATTAATTGAGGGCAAGCTGTTTAGAGCGCAGCTGCAAAAATTCACTATAATAGCTGAAGCCAATTTACACATGCAAGAGAATTGGAGGATGTAGCTGTTGCTAGATTGCACCCTTTGAGACTGTAAGAGAGATGACAGCATTGCATGTTTCTGTGCTCATGTTTCTCTACTCCTATAGGTATAAATAATTAGCATGTCAGCTTAGTTATCACCTGCAACATGTTTTTAATTAAAGAAAAGTTGTTTACTGTTCCATAGAACCATCTAAAATACACCTGATAATATAATACCTGACAATGTGGCAGGTGTGTATGTGTGTGTAGATACACACACACACACTCACAGAGTGGGTTTTTTTTTTATACTAATTTCCTAACTCCAGTGGCAGTGATGCAATTATATCATCAGGTCAAGACTGAAATGTTTATCACTTCTTGGGGACAGAAGACACTTAAGTATACAATTCTGTAAACTCACTTAATTCTAGAACCTCTGAGAAAATTGAAAGGGAAAGGAACATTAAGCTCTGCAGAGGTTTAATAAATCATTTTTCTTAATCAGGGTTTTAAAAGCCTCCAAATGGCTCCAAAATTAAACATATAAAACCGTACTTGCCCATCACAGCACTGTAGATATCATGCACATTCTTCTTTGGCCTTAGGAATCACTGGGAAGTGGGGGAGGGTGGAGGGGTTTGGGTTGGGTTGGTTTTGGGGTTTATATTGCAACTTTTACAAAACTTTTCAATAAAAAAAAGGAATCACTGTCAAATAATCTCAGGTAATAAATTGTACACAGACGATGCCAGCCATGATATTTTGTCAGATTTTAAGTGCATTTTTCAGAAAAATGACTGAAATGAAGCAGGATTTGGCAATCTGGCAATATTTTGACCCACCTGTGAAATTTGGGCAGTGTTTCACTGATTGGGAATGCCTTCAAACATGAGATCTCCCCTATTCCCACAGATACTGCTTTGACAATCACTGCACTATGTAAAATGAAATGAGATTATGGGGAACAATGGCTATTTGTGCAACTATTGCCTGGCCTTCAAAGTTGCCATTCAAACTGTTATTGCCCTCATCAGAATTTAATCCTCTACTGGATGCCAGATCTGGAGAGGATAGAATCTTAGCCAAACAGCAGCTTCCCTCCAGTATAGGAGGCCGCCTTGAGAAGAGTTTCTGGGGACAGAGAGAGAAGCATTTCCAACAAGATTTAAAAAAAAAAAACCTTCCAGAAATAAACAGAAGCATTCAGAACATGTGCATGAGAGAAAATATGAGCGGGGTGGGGATCAGGATGACATACTGTCCTGCAACAAAGCTATGAGATAACAGGACAGTTATGCGACCAGTGCAATTAATTAAAAAGCATTTGCCAGCCAGCAAAGATGGCTCATCTGGCCTCCAAGAAGTCAGTCGAGGAGGAGGGAGAATAAATCAGATGATTCAAATTTTCTTTGAGAAAAAAAAATTGGGGAAAACTTCCTATTTCATTCCAGGTGTCTCAGTAGGTGAAGAACACTGTCAAACTAATCTTGTCTGGTTGCTCAGATAATTACCTGCTGTCTTTCTATTAACAGTTTATCTTATAACATATGGCAATGAATCCCAACCAGTTAGCAGAAACTGGCCCTGGATCCCAGTTCAAGTTCCACAGGGCTCGCATGGAACTTACCCACAGAAGGCTTAATCCTTCCCTTTCCTGCCCTTCCTCTTTCCCTGAAAGTAGCTTTAGACTCCTAAATTTACTGGAGATGACACATCAGATACCCTGGAGCAGATCTAAGGGATGCCTGGTGGAAGGAAAACTTGCCTTGCCAACTATATATACTGTATTTCCTCTTCTAGCAACATTACCAGATACAAACAGAAGAAAACATGCCTGTTAATGGCAAAGAATCTCTTAACTTCATTACACACTACTAAAACTGGTGTCCATTCAATTGTGTGTAACCTTCAATTGAGTGAAACGGTGCATCATAGGGCAACAATTTTTGAAGTAACATACCTCAAATGAGCTAACGTACAAAATGAGTTCAAAATCTTGGACCCATGACTCCCACTGGATTGAAATTTGGCAGTTGTGATCACTTCAGTATTGCTGTGCCACCGCACGGCCATGATCAGTCACAGTCATGTGATCACTATTTCCAACGCTTCCTGTCAGTTTCCTACAAGGAAAGTCAATGGGAAGGTGGCAAGAAGTCACTTCCACTGATTTATTTTGCCCTCCTGTGGTCATTCTATATCTCTATTTAGATAAGGGTCATGGATTGTTACTAACTGCTGATTACAGAAGGTAGGCAATGTGAGGATTCCGTATTTTGAACCTATCTTCCAATGACAGCAGCTAGCATGCAAGGATTATGGGATTCAGAATCTAAAACCTCTAGTGAAAATAAATTGCCCACCTATGGTTTAATAAATAAACTAGTTGCATTCCTGGGCTTTCACATGTCTTTATCCTCTAGTAAAGCAGAGGAGGAATGAGGAACATTTTTTGTACAGCCTTTTCTTCTCTTGCAAATTGTGTCGGGCAAGCAAGACCCTCCTCTCATTTTGGAGTGAAGCCTCTTTCTCAAGCTTTAGGGCTCAGTACAGGGATAAGTCTTGAAACTGGAAAGCCATTAATTTCTCCCCCAATTTCTTTATAATAAAAAGCTCCAGTGGCTGAAATAATCAAGCCTGGTATTGTCTCCCACAGTGGCCATCTGGATGCTCCAGGGAAACCTAGAAGACAATAGTACCTTCAGCACAAATTTAGAAGAAAGCTACTTTTGTTAAATCGTATTCTAGGCTGCTTGGATGTAGCTCTTAATGCACCACAGATAAATTAGCAAGTGACTGTTTCCAAATCAGTCATGTTAAACACAGGCAATTTATCATTAGAAGTGTGTATCGACTCAGATGAGACAAAGAGTCTATTAATCCAGAAAATATGTTTGCACAATTAGCCAGCCAGATGTTTCCAGAATATCTTTAAGACCTTAAAGCAACAAATCTAAGCTGCTACCCCAAAATGTCATTCAAAATTGTACTACCACTAGCCATAGATGTAGAATTGAATTATAACAACAAATGGCTTGGATAATCTCAACAAAGCTAGATAAGGAAGTACAAATGTGCCAGAATTTCACATTCAATATCTGAAGTATTTTTTTTCTCCTTTCTAGATCAATTAATCAGTTAATTTCACTGATTTATCTTAAATTCTCATATTAATCAAGTAAGTGGGAATGATATTTATATTCATTATTGTCTTTCATCAAAATGCACCATAAGCCTCTAAGGGACCTGTGTGCAAGATTTCACACACACACACACACACACACACACACACACACACAAAAGGGGAAGGTGATACAATGCTGGTTTCATCAGACTGGCTGGTTTGAACCTCCCTTCCAGATGCTGCTTTGTGCACCTACAAAGAGACCCTTTTTGAGCCAGGATTAAAACCATTTTCCTGTACCTATACCTAATGATCAAATTATGGTTGGCCCGTATACATTTTTCTCCTACAAAATTGGCTTCCATTTCCCCATATTTAACATAGAAGGACCTGCAATGTTATTTCAAATCTTCCACGGTACCACTTTTGAGTTGATTTTATTGAATGACAGAAAGTACAAGTGCTAATTTTTGTTTCCCTTTTTTCCTACACTTTTATTCTGAAGCCTCCTTGGCTGTCCACACTTTCCAATCTGAAAAAGCTCAGTGGGAGGAGCTTCCTCTTGGTGCCTTCATCTGGAGAGCTGGACTGAAATTTGAGAAGCCAAGGAAGCTGCAAATTGCCGAAGAGAGGATTGTAGGTAATAGGACTAGGAATACGTGGTCCACTAATCAAAATAGGTTTTTTTTTTTTGAATTCTCTTCTCTTTTGAAAGAAATTTCCAAAACAAATAGTCATAAAACTGAATGAGCACAGCAGAAAAATCCGGGGGGAAACAATTGACATTGCACTAGTTTAAATTGCATGGTATGAGCAGTAAACATAAATCATCCTTTCTAGTATTAGCAATATCCAACTCTGTTGTACAATTATCATTGTTCCCAGTCAACATGGCCACATTGTATGCAGATTACAGGAGTTGTACTCCAATATATGAGGAAAATAGAAAATTCAGAATTGCTTCTTAGGTCTGTGGAACAGTTTTAAATGTTCCTCTCCTCCCTAATCACATCCCTTGCCCTACCAGACTGTTTATTCATTTAAAGTCCTCCTGATCACTACTTTGGCTTCTCAGAATGGCACCATCAGGCTTCTGTTGTCTTTTCTTTTGTTTAGACTCCTCTGCCAGGAGCAGTAGATGTCAGAACTGATTTTAACTGTTTGCTCCCCTGATCCCAACTGAAGCCAAACCTACCAGTTGCTCTGGGTATGGAGGCAATGCTGTCAACTCCAATGGGATTTAACATTTTACATGTTCCAGTCAGGGACATCTGAGATACACAATGGAACAAATTAAAAAGCTTCCGGCCTAAGGCTTCTGAAGAGATGACCTCTCAAAATAAATGTGCAGAAATTTATCTGAAGCATTGGGAAATCCACCCACAATGGAACTTATTTTATTCACTTTTTCCTTCTTGTCATCCCTCCACCCTAAACTAAGCTTCCATTCTTCTTGAAGTAGTGACTTGGTTCTTAGGCTATAGAAGCCTACACAATCTTATTCACCAAACATGCTCCAAATGATATCTTCCTTCAATTCCAGCAGCAAAGTCAACTGATGAAGAGCCATGCAACATAATAGGCAGAGCAGAAAACCTAGGCCACTTTTTTAAAAAAAAATAGGTATATTAAGTCTACTGGACATTTACATGTTGAAGGGAAATCTTAAAGCTGTAATGGACTGCAGGTTGATCCTGAATCAACTATATAAGCAAGTGGCTAAAAAGGTAAGGTAAGTAAGGTTTCCAAGTCACAGAAAACAATTGTTCTAATATGTTCTACTAGTTCAGCTTCCAGTTCAAGTATCCAGATTTGATCTCCCATTTTAATAAGGATCTCAAGAAACTGAAACTAGTGCAAAAAAGGCTAATGCAGACAATCAAAGGTTTGAAACTCAAATCCTATGATGAGATGCTGAGCATCATGGCAGAAGATGGAAACAGCATAACCATCTGCCCAGAAAAGATTGTATTGTATTGTCTGTCACTGTATTGACAGACAGCATCTCAAGAAGAAAGAATTATTAAGAGAATAATCCTAGCATTTTGTATTCCATTAAGGTTGCTTACATGCACTCAAAATTCTAGTGCTGACCAGAGATCCCATGGTTAGGATTTCTCCAAGAATAGCCTTCAGACTGATTGCGTTATGTTGTATATTAGAAGCAATCCATTGAAAAAAGTCACTTATATCACAGTGGCAACATTTCAGATATAGATATGATAAAATTCAGCTCAAATAGCTGTACTTGGAAATCCACCCCAATTCCATAAATACTACCATAAGGTATCCCTGAAAGATCCCAGTATCAAAGCTTTAAAATAAGCCATATTCAACTTTAAGGCCCATTTTAATTCCTGCCTGTCTCAAACTACATTGCCTATTGCTTCATATTTTTCATTGTGAATACTAGTCATCACAAAAAAATGCATGAAGCCAAAATAAGTTTGGAGTTTTAGGGATACGCAAATATGCTGCATTTATTAGACAGGGGAGAGGAAGAAAATATGACAAAATTCCCTGCTTAGAAACTACCTTTTTCCAGGAAGGAAAAACATCCTTTATAGTATCCAAAACAAACTTTAATAATAAACCAAACAAAACTTTCTTCACTTTCAAAAATCTGCCCAGTTTCCAGCACATGTAAAAAATAAAATGGAATTGTGATCATTTGTAATTGACATATTTTCTACATCTGGTCTGAATTATTCTTTCATAACACTGCCTTGCATATAATAAGGTAATTGCTTGCAGATTTAGATTTTTTTTCTTCTTTAGAACTTTCTCATAAAAAGTAAGGTTTAAAAGGAATAGAAATGAAAGATAAGCTATGCCAGTGAATCTGGATCTTCCATCGTTCAAGCCCTACCGAGCCCTCTTTTCAAGGGCCTGAATCTCACCAAGATGGAAGCATAAATGACATTCATGTTTTCAGACCATCTATCATTATATAATACTCTGATGAAGGTATAGCTCCACCAACTCTTCTGTTATTTGAAAAGTCTGAAGGCCAGAAGAGAAGAAATTACATACATAAGCCACACGGTTTCTTAGTTCAACACGATCCAAGAAAAAAATACACCTCAGTATAATAATTCTGATGCAATCAAAATGAGCTGCTACAAAATAAATTTTGCCCACATAAGCATAGACTTGTTGGTTCTAAAATATGAGATTCCTTTTCAATGGAAACTTTTTTTCTACCTGTATCTGTATACAGGGATTCCCAACTTATACATTCCTAACAAGAATTACATTTACTGAAATTTTCTGCACAAAATACCCAACCAATTTCAAAGCTACTTCCATAGCAAATGCACTTATCTCCTTTTCCAATACTGCTACAGAATAATTATGTCGCCTTCTCTGGGTTACATGACAAAAAAAAAAAAAAAAAAAGCTCACTGGCTAATTAAGCACATACAAACTTCTAGCTTTTGAACATTTGGCTGGCAGGCTCTGGATAAAATACTCTGCTGACAAAATAACTTTTTTTTCATGGGAAATTTTTCCTTTCTGTTCATTAAAAGCTTTTTTTTTACCATGATTGATCAATAAAACTGCACTGATGTCTTTGGCATAGTATCATATGAGTTACAGCAACATTTTCAACCTAATGCCCCTCCAAGTATGCTGGATTTAAATTCCCATAGTTCCCAGCCAACATGGCTAGTACAGCTGGACAATACCAAGTTACAGAAGAATGTATTGCTGGAAGACATCATAGCCTATAAGGCAGACTCACGTTGAGGGCTTTCTTATTCTAGCCCTTACGTATTATTAGGTATTATTACCTAATACTGCATCTTTTGACTTTTTCAGTTTAGTGCCTGAGCCACATTATTTTCCAACATTACAATATACAATCTGTTATTTTTCCCCCCTTTCGTTCTCTATCAAAAACCTGGATCTCATCTACCAGTGGAGACAATTCTTTCCAAAAATGGGGGAATTGGACAGTACATGTTTACTTTTCCTAGTTATCCAAATGAAATCCAGAAGACGTTTAGTAGAGTTCAATCTGTTCCTCCTTCCTCAAGCTATTGTTCTTTTGCTCCATCTTAAAATTCTGATTGTGACAGCCTCAGAGCTTCAATAGTAAGTTTTTTCCTTTTCCTTCCTTCCATCTATGTTTTTGCAGCATCACGTCTGAAAAAGAGACCTGGATATTTCAAAATCTTACAACAATTTGAATATATTCAGTATTTTAAAATATTGCCTGACAGTAGATTTCTGGATTCTTTCTTATGAACCAGAATGGCTTAATTATTCTATTTCTAATCATGATTTGACTAGGATGAGACACTAGAGAAATAGTTTGGGCTAAAGATTAAGGTCCTAGAGTAGGATTGAGGAATTCTAAATTCTAGTCCTGCCTTAGGCAGAAAACCAACAGGGTGACTTTGGGCCAGTCTTTCTAAGTCCTGGACAATGGCAAATAATTTCTGAAAATGCTGCCAAGGAAACTGCATGGATTTGTTCAGATAGTTACAGCATACACACGCGTGCACACACACATGTGCACACACACACGCACCAATACAGAGAACAAGATACTGTTTAGAGCATCCCAATGCATACATCCATGTTTTAGTAGGTCAATGTCGTCATTATGACATCAGAAACCACAAAACTATTCTCTATACTCATCTAGCTTAGCCACAAACACATCTTACAAGAGAAGAAACAGACATTTCATCAACATAAGGCATTTGCAAATAGTAGTTTAGATTCTTCATTTAGATCTGGATGTTTGCTATTTTTCAAGTATAAAAAAAAAGAAAGCAGAAGAAAGATACATGGAGACACATAAACCCAGCATAGCTATTGCTTCAAAACTTAAAGTTGGCAAACATGAAGAAGCTGGGGAAACAGATGGGATTCTTGCACAACTCCCATGCACCCAAATGGACTAAATATGGTATATAGAACCTGACATAAAACAGAGATCTTTTGTGTTCATGCAATATAGTACAATAAACTGTAGGAATGGGTGAAGCCAAACCATTTCAAGATCAAAATGCTCCATTTTGGAGTTTGGTCCAACTATTATTCCAGGAGTGTTAAAACACCTGTTTTACAAGTATCATCGGACAATGGTGAAAATACCTGTTTTCTAACAAAACAGTTTAAAGTCTAAGATTGAAATGTATCTGGAATCAGAAAAAATATTTTTGAACTTCACATAGCAGTTCAGTACGCAAAATACCTTGTACACTTCTGACAGATTTACTCACAATGTGTTTGTTTCTCTACAGTCTTTCTGGTTTTATGTTACCTCTTTGCTACCTGGTTTCACATTTCTTTATTATCACCTTTTCAGGTTGCTTGTTGTTTTCCCAACCAACGTGCCATGAGCACAAAGAGCTGCTTACACAGCAAAAGGCATTGCAGACATGAGCAAAAAACAAATATGAATATTTTGCTAGTCCCAGAAGGAAACAGCAATAAAGCCAAACATTTTTATATTACTGAAGCTTTCAACAATCCAGAAAGTCTGTGTGAAAACTTTGAGGTACATTGAACAGAAGCGTAATGCAGAATGAATTGTGGCTTATTCAGTAAATGGACATTGAATAGTTCAGTGGTGGCGAACCTATGGCACGGGTGCCAGAGTCAGCACTCAGAGCCCTATCTGTG